ATTCCTGAAAAGGAAAGCCCAAAAAGCTACATCATTTACTATGGTATGCAAGTTTTGACTCTAGTTATTTATCTTATTTAAATATTATTAAGTGCTTCATTATAAACAAGCTCACATACCAACTGATTTTATTTACCAGCCTCAACTACCTTTCTTAAAAATGCACAGCAATAAAAAGAGTTGTCTCAGCATATGATAAAAAAGTACTGAGTCAGCTAGTTACTATAGAAAATGAAACAAAAACTATGAATACAATGAACATTTCTTTCAGAACAACCCAAATTTGGGGCAGGGGGAAGCCAGACTGCTCAAATATAAGACTAAAAATGTATTCTATATAGGGAAAGCATGAATAAAACACAGCATTGCTTTTTTACTGACACTAAGTATGTTTTCAATTCCAAATTCTTTAACTTTTATGAAATTTTGGCAGAACATAGATGTTTGGCTCTGCTAAATCAATGTTATAAGAAAAGTCCCCATGGCACAGATTAGATAATGACTCCCCAGTCAAACAAATTTGATTATTTTTGTCCATTGAACCACCAGGTTTTCTGGAAAAATTCCTTCCCTTGAGAGTAGAGCCTTGGGAGTTGCAGTTACTGAGACTCACCACATGCTCAAGTTACATCAGTTTCTTACCCTTTAAAGGAAAATGTGTCAGTTCCATCTTCATAAATCAGACTGAGGAAGTTTTTACACCTGAACACATTTTCAAGATGCAAAATAACATCTTGCTATGTTTAAATGACAAACAACTCCTTCCCCACATATTCTTCTTGGCCTTCCTTTTTTGCTATTCTTGCTCAAATATTTTACTAGTGTCTTCTCCATTTTCCCCCTTAAAAATATTCTGTTTCTCAAGTGCTTAGTGTCTTTTACCACATCCTTTCCCTTCCCACCTCCAGGAGGGGGCTGGAAATGCTGACAGAGCCATAATTACTTAATGATGACTACAACTGATGGAAGAAACATCTCATACAAACACACAGAGGAGACATAAGGCTAACTTATGGTTAACAGAAGTGGCCAGCTGAGAAAAGAAATCTCACACTGTCCTTTCTAACTACACAGCAAAGTTTGTTAATGAGAAGTTCAGTAACATAAGCCAAAGTATTGTTCCATAGCTGTAAATTCCTGTTAAAATGACTCACTTCAGTCAAGTTACTACAGCTTTACAATTGTAAGAGTGACTTCTACCAGTATTACAGACTATAAATATTTAGGATTACAAAGAAGCACTTCAACTTAATCTGCATGAAGTTTGTTTTATTGTTTCAGAAGGACAGTGTGTCTGAAAAAAGATTTCTAAACAGTATTTAAAGACCTAAAGCAAAATAATTACATTTCTATGAACTATATTTTCATGTAGATATAGATCTAATTATTTTTCTACCATTCACTTGTTTTTATCAACACTAATAAGATGCTATTTGAAACTAACTCCATGGACTGCACTGGTGTAACAAACTAGTTTGAGATGAATGACTAAGCAGCACAACTCTAATTTAAAGACCACCACCATGCTAGTATGTTATGAACAGCATGAACCCACAGCAGTCAAAGCAATTCCTAGATTGCACTCAATCTTATTCACTGGCAGAAAGCAAGGGTTCCAGTTTTCAGATCCTTCCAACAGGAGCCCCCTGCACGAGGATGGATGACACATCAAGAAAGCTGTGAACTACCTCTTCCAACCCCCGTGGCTGCTAGTGGTGTAGGATGGATCCTATCCCCACTAACTAGTAATAGTCCCAAGGGAAATGCCAATCAATCAGACTCTGGTCAGTCCAACTGTGGCATCAACAGAGTTGTTCAGTTTACAGGAGGAAGTGAAGAACAGCTCACAGCTGGGTCTATGTAAGTGAATATATGATCTCAGAACACAACCTACAAGGTGTACAACAGTGCCAAATTGCATTTTACAGAGGCAATTTTGTATTCCTAGAACTTAGTAGCTTGGTCTTAATTCTATCCTTGGCTAGGGAGAGCTACCTGTACTCTTTCTGATTCTTCCAAATGCTACTGGTTTTAAGGGTACTACTGATTCTGACAGAGTACTGCATGCATGCAAGCTACCTCCAGACATGTTTTGGCTCCGCAAGTTCATATAGCAATGCTTCAGATCTAATGAATCCTAATGCAGCCAGTTGCATAGACATTATGATGCCAGAACATTCAAATTGAGCCTAAAAAACAGACTAGGTGTGAGATCTGTAGTATTATGTAAGGGAGCCTAGCTCTACATTATTTTAAATAATGGAGAATTGACTACTTATGGCAAGAAACAAAACCAGATTAGAGTAGCATGAGGTTAGTCTCACACTGCCACCTGCTGAAAAAAGCAAGCTACCTCTCCATGAAACTGTTCTGTTCACAATTCTTCTCACTGCATCTCAGAACAAGATTACATGTGATTATATTCCCTCAACTGCAAAGAAATACATAAAACCTTCTACTCGTCCGTTCTTACAACCATACAATGCTGGAAGTGCACAGCACATACAAATATCAAGTCACTATTCATGGGACATTAAAATAAACTCAAGGGCCTATTGCAGAATCCAGGTGCCTAGATATGAGCAAAGTAAAGAAGTTTATGACTGTTGTGAGGGTCTACATAATTAAAGCTGATGAGTTGTATCAGCTAGCACAACCTCTGTGCTGATGGAATGATCACATGCTTATTACCGCTTTCTGTGGAGCCTGTTTACAGATCCAAATCAAACATACGATAAGGTAGCATAATTAAACAGACAAATGTAAGTTAACAGTGAAATGCCAATCAACCAATGAGAGTCATTAAATATTCCTCAGCACATTCTTCAAAATGTAGTCATTTTGCAAGACAAGCTGAATAAACCATTGAAGAGAATTTTTTACTTCTTACTTACACCCTTCTCTGTTGCATGAATATCTGTGTTTCCATAAAGTGTTCCAAGACCAATTACTTTGCCACCATTTGTTCGTATATCAATTTTATGGCTCTGAAAAAAAAAAAAAGTTTAGAAATCATATGGTTAGGATAATAATAATTGGAAAATAAGTCATCTTGTTTTTCAAGCTGTACCACAATAACCACCTTGGATCACAAACTTCCATTTTACTGTGAAGGTTTCTTCTCAGGTGATTGCCAAAAGCACCATCTGTTTCCAGTGGAGTCAAACTCAAAACAAGTCACCTTTCTTTGTCACCTTTCACCAGAAACACAATGAAAGAATGATGCTGAGGAATGCTGTATTCTCAATTCAGGTGTGGTTTTTGGGTTTGGTTTGTTTTTTTAAACTAGAAAAACATTCACTCAGTATACATTAAAATAAGCAGCAGGTGAAGAAAGAGGGAACTTTGTATTTCGTTTATACTTCATCCAGAAACCAAGGTATGCATACACCCAGTGCTGCAGCAGCAGAGAAACACGAGCTGGCAGTGAGAAATGAGCTTGCCAACTGGAGCCTTCTAGTGGCCTGAACCTACAGTGCTACATAACCATGTAGGACAATAATGTATATACACACAAACAACACCACAGAGCTACTTATGCTTAGAGCAGTATGTGTAGCCATAAACTTCTATGGGTGCATCCCAGCACAAACCTTAGGCCTGCAAATAGAACCAGATCCTACAGTGTTTCACTCCAACCAGATCCTCATTCAAATTAGGTATTTTGCATACATTTGTATTACACGCTCAACTTTTTCACAAAGAAACCACATTTCAAGTAGGAAATGCTATGGCCCTTACACCTGCTGTAATAATTCTGTATGTGGTGTAGGGGCCACATTCTGTGGTATTATTATAGCTGCATACAACTGACGAGAAAAAAATAATACAGAAATACACACAAAAAGGGACATGTAGCTAAATTATATTCAAATTAAATATCTACCACAAATTGCAAAACTAATCTCAGAAAGACAAAAAAATCCATAATAAAACAAAATAAAAAGCCCACAAAAAATGCCAATCACATCTTGAGAATAAAAAACAATTATTTGTAAGAAGGGAAAAAGAAAAAAATAATTTTAAAAAACCAGATTTAGATAAATCTGACTTTAAGATTACAGATCTCAACAGCAAAGCTCTTTTGTTTGAGTTCACTAGTGTGAATGCTGGAATAACAGAATTAAAAAAAAATATTCAGCATTTTTTATACTTAATGATAGATAAGCTTGCTTTTTTCAGCTACACACATTCTGTTTTCCCATACTAGGACCTCCATTTTCAGATATATTTGTTTCTTTTGAAAACAGTATTATTCCTGTAGATGGTATTTATTTTAGGACACCACTTGTCAAATTTGAAAATCAAGCATATCAAAAAATATTCAAGATATTTAGATTATTAAACACTTGCCTGGATAAATCACAATAAATTGCATTAATTAGGTCTAATCAGATGGCAACAAGACTAAGGACTTTTTTTTTATGAAATAAAGATTCCAACATGGAAAACATGGACTTACACACTCCAACAAATTTCTGATGAAACACCAAGAACCAGATGTTTCATGGATTCGTAAGATGGGAAGAACTCTAGAGCAGCGTTTCTTGATCTTTGTGTATCAAAGTCTTGCTTTCTTCTCCTCATTCAAGAGGCTTCTCCACAGTAAAATGAAACATCCCTACCCTGAGACTACAGTACTGCTTCAGATCTTTTAAAGGCTGTAATTAACTCAGCTGTTCAGTTAAGCTTCCATACAAATATAACAGATTAACCTCTCTACATACAGTAAACAGCACAAAGATAAATTAGATGCTTCAGCTTAATTATCTGATGATTCAGACAGACATCACAGTTCCTTTGAGGCAGTTACACTAGGCACATTATCAGAATAATGGTTAAAGAACAAATCCTCCAAGCATGTAACTTGAGGAAGATATGGGAACTTGTAAGATCTGAAGAATAGCAATGATTTACTAGTCATTCCTCCCCCCCCCCTCATCCTTTTTGGGATAGAAAAAGCTTTGATAAGACATAGGTCCCTCAACTTTTTCCCCCAGAATTATTAGACTATCCCTATCCTCTTAAGAAAACCCCAGGCTGACAGAGGTGGGTATCGATGGATACACCTAACAGACAGCAAGATTCGCCGAGGAAGCAAGTGATAATGGTCAAGTAGCTTTTTCATTAAGCTATGTTCCACTAGCTGAAAGAAAGAAGCACTAATTTATCATAGAGCTTCTCCTAGCAAGGGAGAAAGGTTTGAGTAAGGAAGAGGTAAAAGGCTGTCAAGGCCATAACAGATGTTAACCCCTTGGTCCCACTGTTACTGCCAAGCTGACGGACTGTAGTATGAAGCAGGAAAAAAAAAAAAAAATTTAAAAAGAAGCAGCAATGCTTTCTCAATAAAGAATTTGGAAATAAACTATATTCTGAAGGAGACCTAGAAGGCATAACTGTATTTTGGAACTACTGATACCTACTAGTTGACCTAGAGACTTGGAAGAGATAGGGTGAACTGGGCTTTAGTCAATACAAAACAACAACCACCACCAACAACAAAAATCTCAATAAAACAACCCTCAACAAATCTCACTGGCTGGATAATGCCTACCACACCAAAGTATCAGTCAAAATCCATTAAAAAACCCCTCATACAGAATACTCATCTTTTCAATTACTAGCACACGTGACTAAGGAAAGCAGATGTCAAATTCCTAGGTCTTCTGTAAAGACACCACACAGTATACCAAAAATCAACAAGATTTTTAAATTACAAGTTATACAAACAATTTCTTACAGTCTGTGGCAAGTTAAGAGAATTAGCAGTTGTGAAGCTGTTTGCTGGTGCTCTTGAATAATCCTCACATTACCAGTTTTTTTTAATTATTTGAAGCCATTGATCAATGATCTTTTGCTCTCTACTGTAAAGAAAGGGTCTCCTGCTTTGCTAGTCAATGAGGTTTCTGGACAGCAAGACAGTGAAGCAGCATTAAACAGCTCTTTAATACATCCAAGGGAGGGCAGTATCACTTCAGTTTGCTCAGTAAAGAACATTCCCTGAAGAGGAATCAGCGTTGTGCTGCACTACAGAATCTAGTCTATCAGATTTTCACTAGCTTTGAAAAAACCCAAAAGGTTAATTCTGTTTCTCTTCTAATACAGAGTACAACTCCTGAGCCCATATTAAAAAAAATGAGTTACAGTTGCCTTACTAGAACTACAGTACTTCTTGAAAACATGAGACTAAAAACTGATTGCACAGCAAAGAGATACTGCAATTGAACAATTGTTTGCTCTAGCAAACACCTACATGGCTGGTAATTTTAATTCAAAACCTTCATCTCAACTTCAGAGTCAACAAAACCAAGAGAGGTAACATATCTTCCCTAGTACTTTAAGTTGAAGCTGTCACAGTAACCACAGTAATAGTGGAACAGCTGGTCTCAGAAGCCCCAGTCTGGTGGCTTTGCAGTCTTGTTTTCAGTTCATTAGAGATTATTGTTCCATTGCTACTTGAAGTCTCTAAAAAAATAGAATTTTATCATTTTTAAAATTCAACATTTTTCACATCTCAGGCTGTATATGAGAAAAGATGCCCACAAAATTAGTTGCCTTTCCTCAAAATTACTTTTTTCCATGACATCACAAAAAGTTATTGACAATTGTGATGGCCTGCTGTGATGACTTCACTATGGCTGGCCAAAACCACCTTGTTCTCGCATATTATGTAGTTTCTTATGTACTACTGTTTGCTGTTATTATGCAATGGAGGCAATTTTAACCAAAGCTTTAGACAGCAGTAACACAGTGCTGTTAACTTTTTGTTAGATTATAGTTACCTTTTAAGAGTAATATGGTAAATTATACAGAATCTGGAAGATACAAGTTGTCTGTAGTTCACTGAGTATGGAGTAAGCCTAGCTCAACTGTAAACTAAATTTCCCCTTAAGTTCAATTTCCCATATGTGTGCTATAAAATCAACTCTTAGCATGGTAAAGAAAAAATGTTGAAAGATTTTTCATACCTCAAAAATACTCAAACTTATACATTACCCTATTTGAAAAGCCTTTCTTTTGAATTTATACCAATTCCTGCAGGTACAATCTCAGTCATTCAAGTGAAATTGATTCTAAACAGCACCTAAGTTAAATATACTTTCATTATTTCTACAAAAGCCTATGTCAGCAAACCTGAAGTGCAAGACTGAAAAAGCAAGATCATGACCATGACATAGAAAGTATTTATCATATATATTTTAGTCGGGTATTTTGGACATGTTTTGTGTAACTTGTGATTAGAAATTAACCTAAAGCATTTGTCAATAGCACTGATATATCAGAATTATAAAAAAACCAAACCACGGTGGGGTGGGAGCACAGCAGCATGCTGCAAAGTCCCGACTGAGTAAGCATAAACACTACCTAACAGACAGGAAATCCCAGTCTTCCCCCCCCCCCGCCCCCCGAGACATGGGAAGGGCAGATATCAGGCTTACTACTGTCACCATTTCTGCTGGCTCTGGCTATCACCAAAGGCACCTGGACTTCTGACTCCACATTATTTAGTATTATTGATTTTGTGTCATAATTGTATGCAATAAATAAAGGTGAGGTGCTATACACATAGTAACACTTAGAAATCACAGAGTACTTCTCATCTCCAGAACTGGTATTTAAGTTTTTATACTATATTCCACCACACAATCCCTTTTAAAACACTGATGGAGTGGGGGAGGGTTCTTTGTACCTTTATTGACTGCAAGACACTAGTCCCCTTCTCTGTTTCTATTTTGCAGTTATCACATTCTATTTTCTGAATCTTCACGCAGCCAGTCCCTGATGTTTTGATATCCAAATCTAGAATTAAAAGAGCTTTATTAGCAACAGAATGAGAAGAGTCAGATCTATTTAACATAGTACTTGATCACTTTATATAGTAACTACACATAGTAGGGAGAGGAGAAAAAAAGCAGCTTCTTTGTTACTAAAGAACCTTCCTGCAAAGTTTGGCCACACACTTTCAAGATCGTGACTAGTCATTATCAACACTGACACCGGAAACTCTGTCAGCCTGTGTATAGCTCTCCAGCTTCAAGGGACAACATGAAGAGGCAGCACAGTGACTGTAACCTCTGGCAATGGTGTGATCCTTCAGTGAAGTTTTATCTTTTTCATTTTTTAAACCACTCCCAATATCCACCTCCATGTCATAGCCACCCAAGTCACTAATTTGATTAGCAAATCTACTGAGACATTTGGGTACCCTGACATGGGCTTTGGAGTGGGGAGGCTGGCAGGTTGTTTGAGGCCACGTGTAGAATAATACAATTCAATAGCACAAATACACACATCTTGCTTAGACCTATGATGCTCCAACTAGCAAGCAGCGTAACACAAAAGCAGGTACTGAGGAGTTTGCATGCATCATTCTTGCCTAGCCTTCTGGAAGGCCTGACTTACCCCCCTGGTGTGAAGAAGCATGTTTGCCTCTAGTCTTAATCACCCCACCTTTTTACTGTTCACAAAGAAGAGTCACTATGTCTTGCAGTAAACCTATCAAGGGAACTATTTATGGGCTCATAATGCTTCACTCAGGAGCAGGAAAAGTATTTTTCTGTCACTTTAGCTCACCCCGGAGTTTAAGGAACTGGCAATAAGTTTGAGAATGTGCAGTCGGGGGATTCTGATTGTACTAATAATAATTTATATTGATGACCACCACAACTACTGGCAAAAGGTGAAGGCAGGAGAGGAAAAAAAGTGGTTTTGTTCTTATAAGGATAAATGGTAGAAAGAAGAAAAAGAAAAACTGAGTAGGAGTCAGAAGCATTTGCTGCAAGACACATAACTGAAGGGCTGAGAGAGAGATGAGTCTATTACTCTCTAAAGAGAAGGATATTATCTGGGAAAGAAACCTTCATTTAAGCACCTGTGAAAGTCTCTCTTTCACCTCCACTATCTTCTAAGGTGACCAGAAATATAAGAAGAATCAGAGCATGTATAACAAGCTCTGCCCCAACAAGATTCTCCAAGTCAGAGCCACAACACAGCAGAGGCTGAAGATCAATACTGTCACGATGCTGCTCAGGACAGATGCTGGAACCATGACACAGTAGCTTGCAGACCATGAAGAGGAGAGATTGAGAGCTCCAATTAACAACAAAGGGAAATACTGCCACCTGACAAACCAGGAGAATCCAAGAGGCAGAGATAAAACTTATGTTCACTGAAAAAATGTTACCTTATTGCCACAGTAAGCCAAGAGTTTACATTTAGTGAAGGATGCAGACTCTGTTCACAAGCAACAATTCCTGAAGAAAGAGAGGTAGAAGAGGTGGACTGGAGAAGCAGGTTTTCTAGAAAGCTGTTTTATTTGCAGATAGTATTTTCTTGGTCTCTTCATGGAATACTTCTAAGAAAGAGATACTGTGACCAAGATTTTAATCAAACTTTGTGTTTCTTAACTTGAAGTAAACTCTACGATAGGCTTTGAGGCATGTAAAAACACAAAATCCAGCAAATCAGACTGGTGACTGTCATCAGAGGCTCACGGGCCAGCACCACAAGGTCTTATGCTGGTAAAGCCTAGACAGTTCCATCAGACTAAAAAACACCTGAGTGGTATCTGAGCTATTTCAATTTGATCAGTGCTGATCTACAGGTTCTGAAGTTGAGACAAAACTCTTCCACAAGGTTTTACTTCCCAGGGAGCACTCAGATTGTTTAAATACAGTTCCCACAGAGACACAAAGAGAGGCACTCTCCAAACATCCATGCTTGAAACAGTAGGTCCCTGCACAGCATAAACCTGGAGAGTTCAAAAAAAAAAAAGCAGTCTTATTTTTGAAATACAAGCTGTCTTGCTCAAAACTCCTCAATTCACCTCCTGGAAAACTGCACAGTCCTTGAGAGGATCTACGTCCAAGACTTCTATTATTTTGCTTCTGAGAGAGGTCCAAAAGCCAGTATACTTGTGCAAATCTTTGAATTCAATTGGCTTGATACCCTCTTGCCCTTATTGCTTCTGTCAAAAGGGGGGGAAAGAGCAGTCAGTTTAGCCACGATACCAACTTAGTAAGATTTCTTTAAGAATAAGGTTAACAAAAGCTTCTGATCCTGCCAGACATTGTGGACGTTCTTTGAAAGGCAGAATAGTAGTATAATCCTAGATGTACCGAAGATGGGTGCCAAAAGAAGACACACAAGTCTGGGGATTCATGAGCACGTTGTTAAGAACCACCAGGGATTCCTGGAAACATACTTTGTGCCTTGATCCTTTGCAGAGTCATAGCACTTTGCTAGCCTTGATATAGCAAAAATGGCAATGAATGGAATCCCTCTGTCTGGCAAATAGGTTTCCTGAAGCAAGGATAAGTGACTCCACAAAGAGGCAGGCTAAGAGCTGGATAATATTGCTAACAAAATTTCAACAAGCAGGGAGGAACAGGATACAATCTATTCCAGCATCAAAGATCGAAAAAATAGCTAATCTGATTCCTCCTTAGCAGAGCTGAGGCTGAAGCCAACTTCAGCCACAGAAACTTCAAAGAAAGCATGAAGATCTTGGAAGGTGCAAAGGACCTGTACTGGAAATAAAGGTACATAGGGAAAAAGAGACCTGCAGTATCAGAAGGTAGGCAAGGGTCCCCCAGAAATACCACATTTACTGAGGGCTACTCAGAGGCTGTACGTCTGCCATGCTTAGGAGTAGACACTGATGATCTTTTTTCCAACTCATTAATATGTTAAGACTTGAGGAACACACACTGTTGAAAACATTCACATCTGCTTGCCATTAACATTTACAAAAAAGCCACAACAAAAACCAAGTAGTCCCAAGAGCTTAGGTTCTCCTCTCATATAACTAGGTAGAGAAATTGTTTAAGGGATACCATAAAATTACTATGTTGGTGATTCAAAGAACCATGAAAGATCCATACATTAATTCAGTTTGCCTGGTTAAGTCCACAAGAAGCTACAGTATTTAGCCAAAAAGGGAAGTGATATCATGGGTTTAAGTAAGACTGATATGAAAGGATGAAGTTGTCCCATGGAGAGAACCAATTATAAAAAATAAACAACAACAAAATTAAAAAGCCCGTACTGGCTTATAAGTGGACCTAGACCAGGAGTGCTTGATCCTGTGCCACAGGGGACAGAGTTTTTGTATTCTACTATTCAAGTGAAGCTTGGTCACCACTTCAAAACTTACAGTTCTCCTACTTGACTTTGGCATAGAAACCTCTGCTCTCCTCACCAGGATATAACATGGAAAAGCATTGGAACAGTTCGCCAAAGGAGGTCGTGTTGTCTTTGTTCTTGGGGGTTTTCAAAACCAGACTGGATAAACCCCTGAGCAGCCTCCCCCGACCTTGGAGTTGACCCTGCTTTGAGCTGGAGGTTGAACTAGACACCTCCTGAGGTCCCATCCAATCTGAATTGTCCTGTGATTACAATATATGTACCTACAAAAGCAAAACGTAAGAACCACATTGGAAGACAGGATAAACGGTTCTCAAATTGTGGACCTCGGTTGAGTCTACCTCTGAGTCTATGTAAGTAAGCTGAAATCAAAGAGCTGGTTTCAGGTTTAATTAGCACATGCAGTTCAACATATGCCAACACACAGGTTTCTCTATGTGCTGAGCAGACTCTGAACCTACAGCCATGTGCCTACTCTGTCCCTGGGATAAATGTCTAACATACACGTATGACCTGAAGGAAAATAAATAAATAAGCTAGATTGAAGTGAAATTCATTGACATTTATCCTTTACAAAGGTTAAGTGTATCAGAGAGGATTATCAAAATGTGTATGATATTGAAAGACTACATATAGCATAAGACTAGACACTAGGAAATAGGGGATTCTTTAGTAAGCAGGCCAGTAGGGCGAGTACAAGTTGCCTTTGGTTTAAAATGTGTATTTAAACTCATCACCTAGCATCTCCTGCACATGCTCTTCAGAATCTAAGGAGTTTCAGCTAACTTACAGCCTCCTGGATAAGCTCCAACCTAAGCTGCAAAAGCTGTTACAAAATGCCTTAACTTCCAAAATGCAGAGAAAAGCTACAATACTGTAAAGACATTCACATCAACTTCTTACAGCTAAGTGACAGAAAAGAGAGCTCAGACAGAACCTGTCTAAACAGGACAGAGTTAACATCCTCCTCACGGGTTCAGGGAAGGCCAGAAAAAAGCCAAAGTACTTGCAGAGGAACAACAGTTTCTTTCTGTTTTGAGATGTGTTTTTACAAGGGATAAGACCTTTTGCTTAATGGAAATGGTGTTTAATTTAATTATCCATTAAATGATGTTTAATGGATAATTCTTTCCTGAATAAAGGAACAAACCAAGCACAAACTACTACTCAGAGAACCCAAAAATCAAGTTGAGAGGCCAATTAAAAGTAGAACATTACTGCCAAGTAGCAATTCTACTTCACTAAGTAAAAAAAAAAAAAAAAAGTTTTGGGAAATATCTCTCTGGATATGGCTGGTTAACAGCACAAACAGACAATATTAACGTCATGCTAATTATGGGATGACAAACAGCAACCAGTACAAGGGGGCTATGCTCCACAGACTGTCCAGGGAACCTGAATTCAATGAGGTTTTCACAAACTCAAGTGGAACAGCTTAGAAAGCTACAAACCAGTAAAACTTATTTCAAGAAGGAAGACTGTAAGACAGTCTGCAGGGTGGGTTGATTGACATTCAGAATAGAGTAAGAATCTCACATACAGGACAAAGGCTAAACCATTTTTTTTCCTCCCCAATCAATCAGGATTCAGAATTATTGAGACCTCTAGGAAGGTTCCCCACACTGAAAGTCTTTATGAAGGCTGAGATTCTCCAGATCTTAATAGAATGAGTTCTACGCTGAGAGTAACCAAGCCTGGAGTAAGACACTACAGTCACTCAGAGATCTGGAAAACCCGAAACACTGAGTTACTAACAGCCACAGTAACCAGACACACCTGGTACCGGAGGAATGAATGGTATCCAACGAGTCAGGAAACACGGACAACACGGGGTGTTTCGAACCTCCCTCCTCAGCGGGGCACGGTGCCAGTCCCCCGTTCCCGCTGCCAACTGCGCTTCCAGCCCCGGCAGCGCCGGCACAGGCCCCGGTGAGCCCCACCCACCGGAGGGAGCGATCCCGGCCC